ACTGTGAGAAAAATGACTCCAATACAGTTTATTTATTTAAATTTATAACCCGCCCTCCCCGCGAACGGGCTCAGGGCGGCGTACAGATGGGGCCAATGCCCAATACATAAAACATTAAAACTGCATTTAAAAACATTCAATACAACTTAAGTGCTCACCATATCTAACAAGGGAACAGATGACGTCATCAGGATAGTATCAGTGGCCACAGCTCCACGCAGTACACAAACACTGCTTCTTCTTTTATTCCTTTATTTTACTTCGTGCAATGCTGCTGCTTCCAAACAGCTTCCAAATAACAAGAACGGATTTCCTTGGTAAGTATTCCGCTTCCCTCAGTGCTTCGTCGGGTCTAGAATGGAATGGGAGCCAGCAGATGCCGAAGGAAAATACAAATTAATTCAGAGTGAGAGGCGAAGAACATGGGCTCCATCGTGGATACACAAGCAACCTGACGAAGCACTGAGGGAAACGGAATACTTACCGAGGAAATCCCTCGTTGTTGTTCGGAAGCAGCGGCGGCGGCACTGCACAGAGTAAAATAAAGGAATAAGAGAAGAAGCCGTGTTCGTGGTCGAGCAAGGGAACCTTTACCTTTACCTTATCTAGCAGATCAATAGATAGCCGCGGTGGCTCAAGTGGTTAAGGCGCTGAACTGCAGGCTGTGGAAGGTCGGTAGTTCAGCAGTTCAAGCCCCGGGTGCCGCAAGACGGGGTGAGCTCCCGTCTCTAGTTCCAGCTCCTGCCAACCTAGCAGTTCGAAAGCAAGAAATTGCAAGTAGATCAATAGGTACCACTTCGGTGGGAAGGTGACAGCGTTCCGTGCGCCTTGGTGTTGAGTCATGCCGGCCACATGACCACGGAAACGTCTTCAGACAGTGCTGGCTCTTCGGCTTTGAAACGGAGATGAGCACCACAACCCTAGAGTCGGATTCGACTGGCTTTCGAGCAAGGGAACCTTTACCTTTACCCTTGGCTAATCACTGTGGCCCATTTGTGGCGTGAACCACCTGGAGGCTGCCAACCCCAGCTCGTCCCCAATAACACACGGCCGGCCCCCTTAAGCCTGACTATTCCGACCATCACACCATGCATTAACGGCTAGACCTTTCTGCCAGATCCCTCCCCTCCCAGCTCCCGCCCTTCCTTCCACAGAGGGGAAGGAAACGCAGCTTTCCTACCACATCCATGTCACCCTTCAAGGGGGAAACGGGACTGGCTCATAACTTCTGCCTTATTGCTCCTTTTACACACTTACCATCCCGCTGGGTTGGCTTTAGAAACCCGGAACTTCCGCCAGAGTACTTCGGTCCGTGCTATTCATCAGCCCCCCGGCGAAACGGAGGCCCGGTCGAGGGGTTCCGGCCTCAGAAGCTACCTGGGCCGTTGGAGTCGAGGGGCGCTGCTCCCCTCTAGCGGTGGCTCGTGGGATAGCGCCGCCAAAAGAGCAGAATGTCAAGTCGGGTGACCGCAAACGTATTCTATTTTTAAGTAAATGTTGCCATCTTGTGTTCCCCCTCCCCTGCAAGGCTCCTGCGCCTTTAATAATGGCACTGAAGCACAAGTCTGATGGGTCCTTAAAAGCGATTGCAGCACAAGCCTCTAGGTCCCTCTCCTTTTAATGGCACACATTCTTACCTGGCCCTGTGCAATAGCTGCTGTAGGACAGAGGCTGAGAAAATGAGCTCTGGTCCACTAGGTTTAAAACAGTTCAGCTCTCACCTCTGCTCCAAACTTCAGACCAACACGGCTGGCCACCTGGTTGTATCTGAGGAACTGTGCACGCACACAAAAGCTCATATTCAGAAATAAGACTCTGGTGGTCTTAAAGATGCCACTGGACTCAAATTTTGTTCTGTGGCTTCAGACCAACAGGGCTGCCCACCTGGATCTTTTTCTGGGAATAGGTTGGAGTCCAGTGTCATCTTTAAGACAGTTTTAAAGCCAACAGTTCTATCTTTTGTGTGCATGCACAAATGTGGAAAGGATCTGAACTAGAACAGCAGCAGACGCCCTGTGAGGTAAGTGGGGCTGAGAGAGCTCTTTCGAGGCCTGCTCATGAGAGAACAGCTCTGAAAGAACTTGTGACTGACCCGAGGTCGCACCAGCAGCTGCATGTGGAGGAGTGGAGAATCCAACCTGGTTCTCCCAGATTAGAGTCCGCACTCTTAACCACGACACCAAATTGGCTCTCAAGGGAGCTGTGGAGCCTTGTGAGCAAAAATTCTACTTTGTGAGCTAGTGGCATTAATGTTGTGAGCGAGTGATTTGGCATAAATTAGTCTGCTTTGGAGCCCTCCTTCCTGAGCTAAGGCAAAAATGTGTGAGCCAGAGGATAAAAAACTGTGAGCTAGCTCACACTAACTCAGCTTAGAGGGAACAGTGATTGGGATATTTGGTTACTATAGCAGAGTTTTGCCCTGTCATAGAAGCGTGATCCTGAGTGCAGTAAATAAATCTCTCAAGAAGTATATTGCAAAAGAGGTAAACTTAACATTTATTCAAGTAGATCCAGCTCACATTCAGGCTGCAGTCAAAAATAAAGACAGAGAGAAGCCTGATCAGATAAATGTCTAAGCAGATAAAGGTCTAAAGGTGTCTTTTCTAATTGTGGGAACTGACTGGGAGTCTTCATTCTCTCCTGTCAGGCGTGGAGGGCACTTAACACTACCACCTCTTCCAAAAGATGCTGCTATGTCAGCAGACACCCTAATATCCCTTGCATACATTCAGTATTCTAATATACTATTCTGGAAAAGAAATACACTAAAATACATTGGTGTGTGTTCTGCAACAGGGATGATTAGGAAAAGCACTTAAAATAAAACCACCAGTATTGTCCTACTCCTCTTCGTATTTAAGATGCAATATATTTGGAGGAACATGGCGCATAATTCTCGTTACCGGTCTCCCCAAAAGATGGGGAAAGTGCAGAAGGGGACAACCAAAATGATTACGGGTTCGGAGCACCTTTTGCATGAGGAAAGGGTAAAGAGTCTGGGGCGTTTCTATTAAAAAAAATGGCAAGGGGGAGGATACGATAGAAGCTTATAAAATCATTGCATGGGGTAGAGAAAGTGGATAGAGAGAGAATATTCTTATCCCGTTATAGAAGTACTTGACGAGCAGGCGAGCCAAAATGGGCATACTCCTTTGAGCAGCACAGAATTAACCTGTGGAACTCATTGCCCAAGAATGTAGCAATGGCGGTTTTAAAAGGGATGGAGGAGCCATAAATGTGTAATGTACAGGCAGTCCCAGTGTGAGAAAGCATGTGATCAAGCAGGGCAACAAGATGACAACTACCCAAGTTCAGACTTGTAAAAAAGGCTTTATTGAACAAGTTTCAAATGGTCACTAGGGTCCTCATGGTCAACACCCGAGAGAAGATACAAAAAGAGACGTTTGGTTTATGCAACACTGAGGAACACAGTTCTGGAGTAAGCACATTTTTGAAATGTATTTCACACACACACACACCGAATTTCCCACCTCTGACAGAGAGAAAGGCATCCACTTACTAGATTACCACCCATTTCAGAAGCCCAGTTCACATTACAGTGAATACACATACCAGCTGCCTGTACGTGTGCACGTGTGTGTAAAAAAAAAGAGCCACGGTGTTGACTTTACAAACCAGGGACGAGTCCCTGGATAAATGTGGGGTTTACATGACACACATTCAGCTGTACATGTGCTGAACATGAGAATTACTCAATGCTTGTATAAAGAAAAATCTAAGTGTACATTCCACGCAGATTCTAAGAGCTTTCATTGTAACTTGGAGACAAGGGTAGGACTGGTCCCAAAGTTAAAGGGTTTGGCCCCCTGCAGTCAAAATCTTCCTCCATGTGGTGCAAACAGATTCTGGGGGATACTATGACGGGGGGTAATTTCTGTGTAAAACTAGCCATGCACAGTTCCCCCACCACAGTGATTACTACTCTGTTTAAATACTGCGGTGTAAGACCGCGGTGGCTCAGACGCAGACCGGAAGGTCAGTAGCTTGACAGGTGCTGTGTGATGGAGTGAGCTCCCGTCTCTGGCCCCAGCTCCTGCCAGCCTAGCAGTTCAAAAGCAAGACATTGCAGGTAGATAAATAGGTACTGCTTTGGTGGGAAGGGAACAGTGGTCCGTGCACCTCACTGTTTAGTCATGCCGGCCACATGACCACGCAGATGTCTTCAGACAGTGCTGACTCTTCGGCTTGGAAACGGAGATGAGCACCGCCCCCTAGAGTCGGACTCGACTGGCTTTCGAGCAAGGGAAACCTTTGCCTTTAATACAGAGGCACACGAAGCGGCTGTCCTCTGAGTCAGACCATTGGCCTCGTGAGGTCAGTATTGTCTACTCTGGCTGGCAGCAGCATTTCCGGGGTCTCCTGCTAGGAAGGAGGGCTGCCAGCCTCCAGGTGTGAGGCCTGGCGTTTGGCCACCATCACAACTGATCTTCAGCTCACAAAGAACAGCTCCCCTGGAGAAAATGGCAGCTTTGGAGGGAGGGTTCTCGAGGGTTCCCTCCCCCAACCCTGCCCTCGCCCAAATCTCCACGAATTTCCCAAGTTGGGCCTGGCAACCCTACCAAGGAGAGATCTGATATGCCAGAGGATGAACCTGGGACTGTCTGCCAAAAACAGGGTCAAAATTCAGGTTGCCAATCTCCAGCTGGGA